TTCCACTGTGAATAAAAATAAACCTTCAGTTCTTCTAAAAGAAATTTCTAAGGGTGAGCATACTCTCTTTTGTTTTGTCTGTCTGCTCTTGGCTGTCCTTACTGCAGTTCATTCTTCCTTCCTAACTTTTCTCTTTCAGGTGAAAAGCAAAGAAACAGATGGCAGACAAAATAAGGAGGAGATAGACTAGGCTCTTCCAGGTCTCTTAAGTGACCAGTTTTGCATCAGCAATCTCCACTGCTGTTTCCTGCTATCTGCTGCTCTGCCTGTGCACTCTGTGTACCCTGGTCTTCCAGGTGTTTCTGCATACTTCCAGTATACTCCAAGAATCCATATGGTTTCATGCTTCTGTGCTCTTTGGCACTTTCTGTATACTTCTGTTCCTCCATGCATCCCTGTACACCCTCTTTATGCCTCTGTGTGTCAAAATGAGAAATTCAAGAGAACCTCTGCAGCCTGTGTGCTGTTGTTCTCTCTGGACACTCTGTGCAACCTTAGTACCCATAGCAACGCCTACCCCTGCGCTCTCCATGCTAAATCTAGACCCTGGGGTTTTTCTTGAACAGGCTTCTAACCTGTAGTTCAGTAATTTATCTTCCAAGCTTCCATACAGACACCATCATCTCAGCGATCTTTAGCATAGAAACATTTATTTATTATGTAATTAGAAACTAATTATGAAGAGCGTATTGGTGTAATCAATAAATTGATGCAATTAAAAGACCCGCCAAGAAAATTAAAAATGGATGTATAGCAAAAAGCATTTAATTGAGGGAATGAGTACAGCAGGCAGCACTGATGTGTTGCACACCAATGGAAGCAATGTTTTTTGCTAAATGTGTAATGTGTTGTTTACAAGAGGTAACAATAGACCAGCATTTAAAAATCACAAAAGCACCAAATGAAAGGCTGAAATTGACACTGGTAAGAGAGAGGTTCTATGTGAAAAGGCAAAGGCAAAAGGGAAGTGAAATCTTGGAATGCTAGCATGCCTTCATTGACAATTTAGCGCAGTTTTAATGTGCACTATTGAAAATTATAGCCATTCCAAGATACATTTCTCAACAGAAATATAATAGTGAGTGGGGAAATTTTGACAGCAAATCATCTGATAAAGTAGTATTTACCATAGACTGCAAATTTGTACAAAAAACAGAATGAATGTGTTTCTGTAGTTTGAATCTACAAGTGTAAGCAATGACTGCTGTGCTTCTGTGTGTTTCATAATTTACTTGTTTTCCAACATGCAATCAAGTAATTGTAATGCACTAGCAGTTAATCTCACAGGTTACCTGCGTTCTGTGAATTACTCCTCAATGGCACAGGGCACCATTAAATACTTGAACAAGTGGAATTTATAAATATGAGTGGATTTATCACAGATAATGCCATTTACATGATCAAGGCATATAGTGACATTCTTTAAGGTTTGTTACCAATTCAGTGTAATTCAGATGTAATTCTTACTGTATATAGCAGTGCTTGCACTTAATGTATGGTCAGATGATTTCCTGATATGGTTCTAAGGACCATCTGTGGGATGTAAAGAAAGACCTCTCCCATAAAACTGCATCTTCAGTCATGTTCAGAATACCATTCTAAATGCATTAGCGTTTACTCAGTCTTTTTGGAAATGGACATTTCACCAAACACAGTGGGGATAATAGAGCTAAAAACATTGCTGAAGGATTTACGAGGTTTGGAAACTCAGTTCTCTCGGATTGCAACACATGGCAAGACCCTGCTTGATTTAATCCAGTGGTTGGAGAGTCGTAGAATCCAAGAAACATATAATAAAGGAATTGATACATGCCAAGCATTGGCACAGCTGATGCACAATAAGTATACTTTGTCTTAATACCTTTGGTGCAAACCTCTGTGAAATTGTTGGAAAAACAGATTGTTTATCTCAACCCAAAAACACATTTCAATTAGCCAAGGCTGTCAGGATATTCAGCTCAAAACAAGTTTGGATGTAGATACCCCCCCGATAACATTTTATTCCAGGTTTTCTTAATGAATGCAAATCTAAAGTGGACCAAAACACTGCAAAAGTAAAGGGCGGTGAAATGTGTTTGGACGATTTTTGCAATGATCCTGAAAATCTACTTCCCAACCTAACAAGAAACGCTAAACAATATTTGTCAGTTAATAATTCTGTGGATGTGAACAGAAGCATTTCTTCTTATGGGAATGTTTTCACATCACCATCAGCCCATGAAAGAAGAATGGGAATGACAATAACTGTGTAATTGACACATGATTAAATTTAACACTGAAAAATAGCACACAATGATTGCTTTCTTTCACTGTGCTATCATTGACATTTATATGCTCCAAACTGTCTTTTCTTTTTTATTTACACTGTTTTATCTAGGCATCTCAATTATGTTAGTGCACTCACTTTTGGATTTGAGTATTTTTCATCTCATTAATTAAAGCAAAACTATGCTGTTGACACGATGTAACCTTGTTATTGAAGATCACTTTAATTTATTACTGCTTTGTGTTACTACTGAGTATAGCGGATGTATGATGTTGATGTTAAGTACATGCTGTAAATCTATATTTGTTGCAGTAATTAAACAGCTAATTGAGATAATAAAAGAACTATAATGGGATGATAGTTTAATAAGTAGCTTGAAAGAAGCTATATCAACATCTAGGTGCTAGAAAACTGAAATGCAGTTTACTAATAAAAAGTACATTCATCTGGTTTTGATAGTGTAATAAAGATCAGCTTTATTTATGGCTGTGCCACCAATTGTCTGCCTTAAAGAACCATGAATCATGAAATAGAATATAGTACTTTCAATCTCTAGTTGTGTCTTTATAAGCATTTAGCTTAACCCGCTTCCTATTATTGTATATAGTGCAAAGAAATCTCATTCTTGAAGTTACTCTGTTTTGAAAAACATATGGAAGATTTACATTTCAAATCTGCAAAAGTTACTTGTCCAATTGTTATCAAAACCTTTAATGAATGATTGTTTCACATTTCTCCCATGTCAATTGATTTCTCACAGTAGAAAATGCATTCAAAGTGACAAATAATCAGGAATCTCTTTAAAGGTATCTGAAGTGGGGGTGCTCCACTTCACAAGGCACCTTGGCGTTTTGTTTTGCGCGACCTCCTGATAGCATTTAAAAATTAGCTACACTGCTCCAAGCAGTTTCCAACAGAGAATACATTTCAGTGACTGTAAGACAGTAGTATCAGGGTGAGAAGCATCAAGAACTCATTGAGTTCATCATGGGTCATTTCATTTCCAGTTTTAGATATTGCTGTTTTATTTATTTTGTGTGTTCTGAGTGAAAGAAATTCACTGAGGCTATAATTGATTCTCTGCGGTCAGGTTTAGAGATGTTTAATTAATAACCTATTAAGGACCTATTAAAACAGCAATACCGTGCAGAGTGTGGCTCAGACCCATACAGTACTTGTATAAAGCCAGAAGCTTAGCTTTGACAACACTCCAAGCCTTACCAGCTTGTTAGGAAATGTGTCAGATGTCCTTGACTTATGGTTGACAATGAACAAGACACTGCTGGCACTTCTTCAGCATTAATATGAATAGAATACATGTAATATCAACCAAACTATAAAGACAGGCTTTGTTGAGCAATGGGAGAGAGCTTACATTACGCTTTCATAACATGAGTATAGTATATACATTATACATTTCATACCTGTAATGAGACTGCATTAGGTGGTATAGTTCTGACTATGATAACAAGCTGTAACTGTAAAGGTTAAGTGCACACACATAGCTCTCTCTCTGCTAAGCTTGTGTTCCTGCTTTATGCTATGAAAAATATCTTGGCACATCTGCGTATTGAGTTGTTAACAATCTGAGGACCTGTTTTTGGCCTTTTTGAATCCCTCGTGTTTGTTCAAGATGCTGTGAGCTATCCAAAATAAAAATGAAGTCATTTTATGGTTCTAATAAGAAACTTTAAAAAAATTGCACAATATCTTGGAGTATCACTTCCCTCACCTTTTAACTGCGATAAAAATAAGTTAAGCCTTATAGTTTTAACCTATCTTGGGCCTTAAGGTAAAGCATTCTATTTAAAGTTTTCTGATTTAGTTTATTTATTAAATGCCTGCTTCTAATGTTAGTATTGGTGCGTCTTTCAAATGTTGACAAATGCAATTGCACCCTGATCTGAAAACTAAGGTAGGAAATGACTTTTTTGTCATCAAATTAAAAACATGAAAAGAGTTTTTAATAAAACAGGAGGGCAACTGAAATTAGTGCAAAAGCACCATTTAGACTTTCAGAAGTAAATGTTTACTAAGTTGCCACCCAGCTAAACTGAATGTTGTTTTAAAAGCTCAAGTTCGTTTTTAACTTCTAAGATAATCAAAATGAAATATACTTTATCCCTGAGAGGCCTTCAGCTGTATGCAAGACTAATAGCTGTATTTTTCAGCAGAAGGCAGGCAGAAGTTTTAGTGGCTTGTGGTCTAATAGATGGATAAGAAGGTCAAGTACAAAGACATGAGGTTAGATGTCGCAATGAAGGAGAGTTAACCTTGTGTGATGTGTGGTGAATGGGTTTACCTCTTGTCTGGCCGTGGGAACTCTTCTATAACTTTGTTTAAATAGGAATCGTTCAATCTACGGCTCCCTTAATTACTGACTAATTTATTTAGGCTGTAAATTATATGTAGGAATTGGGGAGCCTAAGTATCAAAATAATTCAATAACAATACCTGGTTTCAAGTAACCTTGTTTGTCTTTGACTCCTTTGACATCTGTTTAACCTTATTTTTTTTAGTTCTATTATTGTTATTATCTTAAACATACTGGAAGTTTCTGTACACCTGAATGTTCCATGTTATCGTCATTTACTAAGAGCTCAGATATGTTATCTCTATGATGAACTTTGGCACTGCAGGCATTATATAGACACTAGAGATACTGTACATCTGAGCTGCAGCACTTAGTTGAAAATTGAAATTTCCTTACATTTTATAAAATGCCATGATGCAGGTGTAACCAGGTGATGAGGTGGTGGCACAGGAGTCAGTATTGACCTCACGCAGGCTGGCAGTTTGGTCCCCGCTACCAGCTGCACCAGGTAAGACCAATAAACCTGAGTTAATATGGGTTTTTAAATGTACTTTAATGTTTAGCAATGTTATTTTTTCATTATTTAAGGTTCACGTGTTTGTTTCAAAGGTTTCAAAAAGTGTATACAGGAGCTGGGGGGGGACCAGGGAGAAATATCCCTTAGATAAATGTGTTAAGACATTAGGTTAAAAGTGTCATTGTTAAGTGTAATGTAACTGTAATAGTAGAAAATATTATGTTACATTGTGTTTTAATGTAATATATGTTAAAGTTTTAAGCAAGAGAATGTAAGTTGTATGAGACTGGGAGTGAAGTGAGATCCCTGCTACCTGCTGTAGTACTCCTGTCCTAGCTCTGCAGACCCTTCCATGGCCTTTTCTCATTTTTAAAAACAAATTCAGATAAGGGATAGCAGGTGAATTTTTCTTCTGTGCACGTGCTGGTGGTAACAGACCCCCCCAACAATGACACTGCCAGCACTGGGAGGGATTTGCAGGACATCAAGATGGGCAGGCAGCACAGGGACTCGGGACGCCTTCAGGAAGTCGCCCCAGTGGGTTCTGTGGGAATTGTAGTTTCTAAGACAATGCAGAGTCTCCGAGTGGTCGTAGCCAGTTTCTATACCTGTCTCCCCTCTGATTGATGTTAACTTGTACTCCCTAGCAGGTGAAGTGAATTACTAGCCACTGCCTGCTATGGGGAAGATGCCCCATAGACAGTGTTACACATGGTTTATAACTAATACAAAAATAAATAAAGTCCATTCCTCAACCTATCCTACTGATATGTTCAATAACAAGTGTATATTCTGTACCCTGCATTGTTGTAATTAATTCATAATTTGTGGATGAAAGGTGTTTAATTCATGAACCCTTAATGTGAATCACACTAGATTGTAAAATTAAAAATAACGCTGCCCTGTCTGTCCTAGATGATTTAATATATTAATTGATTAACTTGATAGATTCAGTATATTAACTCTTTTGTGAGGGTCTGAAACAAGCTGCCCTCCCATGCTGATTATCTAGGATCCTCCAGGAAACTCTGTACGATATCCTTGGACCAATGAGGCGATAGCAATTAAATCAGCAAGAATGGCATCCTCTCATTTGTAAGCTTTCTGATAGTCTAATCTGAAACAAATATGAAATGTAAAAAAAAAGATTGTTTTTTATAATTGAAGTAATAAAGATTTATATTTATATTGCCAAAGTAATAACACACACCTCATAGGGTGAATGAAGGCAGCTGAGAAACATTAAGATGTTACACCAGTTCATGATGTAAAATTATACTAGTAGGTCAGTTGACTTTCTAGGAAGCCTGTAACTGCCTTCGTCATCAATATATTTACTGCCAGTAACCCAACAGATAGCTTTCATCACCCTCGATCTCTATCTTTCCTCTGTTGGCACATGGCCTGATGATGGAAGTTGTTGATTGGCATGAATGCTAATTCATTTCTAGCATTGCACCAATTGCGTATTGCATAAAGTATTGAATTTTTTAGTCAAATATTTAAGATGTATATAAATATATAAGAATTATAAAATAAACCTTTCCAGTCATTCATTACTCTTAAATTAGCATTTTCATACAGTTTTGTGCTAATTAAAACCAAAATGTACCTGAACATTTGAATTAATACATGATTAATAAAATGTGAAATATTTTAAATATAAGATATTAAAATAGAAGCCAATGAACATTGAAACCCACACATGTACTTGTTGCATGCTACTTAACATTTTGTGCATGTTTTAGATGTCATCTAAAAAAACCTCAGAGATACGTTGAAGTGCATTCGCTTCTTGGTGGGGTTCTGGGTTCTTAATGAGGATCAGTAAATTTGAATGATTATTGTTTTTCTAATGTTTTAGTTTGAGTAAAGTTTTATTTAATACTGTACTAAAAATGAGAACAAAAAACTCTTCCTAGCTGGCTTCTACATTTGATGCCTTCAGGACTATTACATAATAAGCAAGAATTGCTATTGACCTTTTTTGAAAAAACATGCATTGTTTTGGTATTTCTAACTTGTGATCAATAGGACAAGAAAAATTATATTAAATGTTTTTCTAGATTATTTGAATGTGATGCCCAGAGATACTAAAGTATTATTTTTTATTTGTAGTGATCTTAAACTGTGCAGCTTGTGATAAACAAATTAAAAATTAATGTACTGTTTTATTGCAGTCTGGCAAAAAAAGTTGAAATATACTGTATTCTAAAAACAACATATCACACTGCTGAGACCTGTATTCAATCTAACTAACTTAATTTGCAAAAAGATGTATGTTGTAACATGTACTGTAGTTGTCATTTTACTTAATTGGATTTGCAGTGCCTATTCTGAAGATCTAACACTAATTACTATTTGGGTGATATAGCTGGATCCTGAAACATCTGGAAGATGAATATATTACATCAGTACTTTCCGTTTAGAGGTCTTTGTGGCAGAAAATAAGCTTTTTTGGCTGAGAGTAGATCTTAAATGATTGTTTGACATTCTAACCCTGTGTGAGCAACAGTTTTTAAAATTCATTCACTACAGTACAGTCAACAGAATGTACTGTTTTACAAAAAAGTAAAAACCACAAGCATTTAAGAGCATTTTTAGGCTTATTAAAGTTATAAACTGTTTAAGTATTAGATTTAAAGCAGTGTTATATTACACCAAAAGCTCATTCTTGTACAGAATTTAGATCTCCATAATAAACAATTTAGAAAAAAAAAAATACAATTTAAAACCTGTGTCGGATTATATGAGCTGCAGCCCACTCCAGATGTACAGTATTCATAACTCCAATTAAATCGGAAATAAAATATACAATATTACAGAATGAGTTACAGTTCGGATATTGTGTCTTGCTCAAAACAATTCTAAAAATCTTACCCTGTAATTCTCTTGCACAGAGCAAAGTCATTTTTGTCATGAATAATTGAGAGGCCTCTGAAAATGTCCTGTTTCAGTAGTAGATTGCATCATCATTGTTAAGGTCAGAGAACTCGCTGAAACTGCAGGCAAATAGGCATTGACCTCCTCTAAATTGGGGATAATCCACAAAAAGTAGAATCTACCACCTTTCACTAGTGTCAGTTGTTTAGAAAATTAAGGCATCTGGTAACAATCCTGCCAGGAAAAGAACTCAAGTGCTTCTTGCCACAGAGGGCTGTAAGACAGGTGGTTTAGACGACAATGGTAAATCCAAAGGATATCTTCAACATTAACTACCATTCAGGATACAAAGTGTCAAAAACTACCACTCTGCCTGGATTAATGTGGCATTCATGGCTATGTCTCAAGGAGAGCCCCCTTATGAAGGCAAAGCACAACATGAGGTGACTAAAGTGGCTAAACTACATATCAATGACAATTGCACCCGTATGTTATGGTGAGATGAAATGAAGACGTAGCTTTTGCACATGTTAAATAGTAATATGTTTGGAATAAAAGTGAAGCTCTGGTCCCACTGTGAAATATGGCGTAGGGCCTATTATGTTTTGAGGTTGCTTTGCATCTGTAGGTAATGCAGCCCTTATTAATCTAGGAGGAATCATGAACCCCAACAATGTCCAGTACAAGGACATTATGGACTGACACCTGGTTCTGGCCGCCAAGAAGCTCAAGCTTGGCAGAAAATGGACATTGCAGCAGGGCACTCATCCAAAACGACAAATAAGTGGTTAACTGCACACAAAGTAAATGCTCTTGACTTTCTGTCTCAATTTTTGGACCTCAGTCCATCTAGAGATTTGTGGTTCAAACTCGAGAAATCGGTTCACAAAAATAGAAACCCAAAGGTGTGCAGTACATAGAGCAATTCTGTGTGGAGCAATGAAGCAGTGGCCAACCCCCTCAGATGAGCCAGAACCTCATATCACTCCACAGGACTAGAGAGGCATCTTGTCACTATAACCCACTGCTAGAAGAGGATTTACAACGTGTTAACTACAAGGGTGTGAATAAATTCAGCCTTTGTGTATTCTGGACTTAAATTAATTGTTTATAACAAATATGATGGTAGTCGGTACACTCATATTCATATTATAGAATTATTGTTTTTCATTTTTCAGCAGGACACTTAACCTGTTAAATATCTGATATGTGGTGGATTTTGTTTCTATTTCATCATGTGGAGTGTAAATAAACCTGGAAGGCACTTTATGTTTTTTTGCTAAACAAATCATGCTTGTCCATTTTCTCAGAGCTATAAAGGATATTGGTTATCAGAAACTTAACCGAAGGAACTTTGTTGTGCTTAATACAGTGGTGGTGTTCTTCAGCACTACTCTCAAAGTTATTGATGTTTTCTGTTTGTAGATTTAACAGGTGTTACTGCTAGGCTATAGATATACAGGACTTTTACAGTTGTACACTGAAGTATTTCTGCTCAAATAGCCAATTAAACCAAGACAATGTCTTACTCTCTGTACTGTTTCTCATGCTTTAAACAGACAGGACCATGTGATCGTGGAAAGAAAAAAGGCTAAATAATAACTTTGATCTGCCTTTCAGTTGCAAATTAAAAGGCCAGAACCTGATGTTGGTTTTTGTAGGAACAAGCAGACAAACTATAAGCCTGTGTTTTAAGTGTAGGTTTTGTAGTTTGTGGGTGGGTCAAATATTTAATGTAATGTGGACACAAATTAACTCTTTGTTTTCCTTGTGACAGTGGTCTTTCACTTGTAAATATAGTATATTGTGATTTAGCAACTGGACACTTTGTAAAACTATTATTATTTATTTAACACTTTTTGGCAATTTTTGTAATTGTTAAATGTGTAAACCTAGCAAGATACAGAAATTAATTTTAATTAATTAAAATTAATTCCATTTAAATTTTTGAAAGATTTAAACGTTTAGTTTACAGACGGACAAGAGCAAAACATATTTTAAAACTGTAGATAATTCAAATGTGGAATGGTAAAAAAAAGCAAAAGCCTGTACCTCTTAAAAAAACTTTTCTTGCATTCTGAAAACAGTTATATTTTATTACATGTCTGTTGTAATAACTAAAAATTATCAGAGGATTACCTTTTGCAATAGCTCTGTCAGAGTGCAGCTGAAAAACAAAATAAGAAAACAGAACTGTACATAAGGAGCTGGTTGTGCAATCATGATTATTTTTTAATAGGAAACATAAACTGTGGGTTGTGACCAATTGGGCGGATGTTAAGAGGTTACAGCCAATTCCCACTGGTGTGGGTCAATGTCCCTTCACTCCAAATTCAAAACAGACTTTCTTGAAAGGCTGGGAGGAGTGGAGCCGATTGCGGGTTGAACCATTTTTGTCGGGAGGGAGGGATCTCTTTGCCTCATTCCACATTGCGAGGACTGCTTAAGATTCCTTGAACTAATGTGCTTCTCCCTCACTGACACTAGATCCTTCCCAAATCCCAGTCCAGTGTTGCAATAGCTCTGGAGCCATCTTCACTTCATCTTTATTAACACAGCTTGCTCTCCTACAGTCAGGTTTACAGCAGATGGGAAAAGAACCTTTAAACTAAGTGAAGAAACATTGTTTTTTGTGACAGATAAAACTGAAATCTCAATTAGGTACTTAATCTTTCTTTACACATTATGCAAACTTATTTTTTTCAGAATCTTAGAACACATATACATTTGTGTAGAAATCCCTAGGTACACCCTTTTTTAGTTAAACGTTCTAATATGTTTTTCAAGTAGTGCTCATATGGGAGAAAACATTAATAACTTTTGATTGAGCTTGGCCTGTTGGAAAAATACATTAATTTACTTCCTGTTCCTTAATGTAGAAATACTATCAGGTTTGTCTGTTTTCAATATAATATTTTAAATATAATCATTTTAATTTCAGAATGTGGAGTGGTTTACCTGCAGATGTTATATATTTAATAGTCTTATTAAATAGGTGTTGTAAAATGTGATCTGTGGACAGTTATACACCAAATTACTCAAATCCGTTTCAGTTTATATAAATCACTTATATGGAAAAGATTAGAAGTACAGCCTTTAAGTATAAATTAAGTCATGTTTGTCCATATTTTTACACAAAACATGTCTGAGAGTTGTATATACTGTATGTACGTACTTTACATAAAAATATTATTTTTAATGGTTTAAGGGAATATCTTGCACTGACAGGATGAAGGAACTTTCTAGTCTTGACCAAGAAGAATGCAAGGGGACTTGACATAAACACTCAGGGGCATTGATATAGTCCAACCCAGTGAACGTCATGAGAATAAAAAGTGAAGCTCTGTGAAATCAGTGAACTACAGGACACTATGTAGAAGTCCAATTAAGAATGAGACCAGAAAGCACTTCCTTACTCAGATGGTTGCGGGACTATTAAACAAGCTACCCATACATGTTGTTACAGGGGAACTGCAATCCCAGTTTCTCAGACCAGTTGTTAAATATCGGTAAGAAAATACATTAATTGATGTTATAGAAAAATTGTACACATTTTGAATTAAGCATAAAAATTGTGGTTTGTAAAATACTGTAAGTTGCCATGTTGTCACATGCAGAGTTAACAATTAAGTTCTTTCTCACCTAATTTAGTACAGATTTTTATAATAAACACTCCTTCAGCTTAAACATAGATGATGGGACACTGACATGCCTATTAATTTTCTTGTCTTCACGCAATATCTTTAATATAGTTAACATTGTTTCAGGCTTTTCATAGGTACGTAATCAGATTTCATTTTCAACTGAGGACTATCTGACTTCTAAGTGATTAAAAAAATATATTTTTAATATGATATGTTTTGATTTGTTTCTACAGTATTTCTGAACTATATGTTGATTGCCTCTCCTAATCAACTCTACAGTTGTGTCAGCTCTACATTTTAGTCCTGAAAACAGTGTTAAATAATCAGGTCAGGAATGTTTGACCTGAGTCTAGCATTCAAAACTCATTTTCAGTGTTGGGAAGATCTATTTTCAGCTTAATAACATTGTGCACAATCATACACATCTCTCCAAAAATGAGTTAGCAATCAGATGTGCCTCAGATCTGTTGCTTTTTTTCCATCCTTATCATTGTAAAACAGTGCTTACTTGTGTATCCAAGCATGTTCTTAACAAGTTAAGTATTTTCAGGACTCAACTACTTGGATTTTCTCCAAAACTAAAATGCATGATAATACTGTAGATCGTCCAATTTAGCTTACCTGCACTGGGATTTCAGGTGTAAATTTCAGGATACAATTCAAAATACTGTGGCTTGCCTTGAAAGGTTTGTATGGTTTGCACCCATACTACATCATTGAACTTTGAACTACCTACAAACCTACAAGAAAACCTGTATAGTTACACCTATAAAAAAAATGTGTTGGACTCTGGGCTTCCGGTAGCCAAAAAGAACCTGAGTGCTTGGAAAGTAAGCTTTCAGGTCAGTTGTTCCGAGACTTTGGAATGATCTCTTAGCCCATGAACAGACATGAAAGCCACAGTAATGCTTAAATTATTCTTAATTTCTTGCTTTTATGATTAATTGTTTTAATGTAAAATGCCTTGAGATTATGTATGTGCTTGCTACAGGGCGGTAAAGAAGATGGCAGAGATGTATTAAAAAAGAAACTGGCACTTTAGTGTGTTTTTATTTTCTTACAGTATTCTCTCTCTTACGGCTGCTCCCACATACTCCCACTCTCTGCCTTTTCCCTGGTACCTTGCACCTGCTGAAAGGGAGCACACGTTTTTGTAGAGAGGATCGCAGCTGCCAGATACCACAGTCGTAAAGACCGACAGCTGCATCCTCTCTGACAGTGATGAAGCTGACTGCCTGTCACAGCCAAGTGTAAAATAGATGTTATTATTAAATGTTTTATTCATTGCTTTTTTCCCCTTTTCTGAAACACCTTCATAGATGCAGTAGGTGTGAATTGTCTATACAGTGTATCTCAAATAAAATTCATTATGAATAGTAATAGCGATGTAATTTTGACTTTAATCTGAAATTATTCTAAAAAATGTATTGCTTTTCATGCTGTAATTCAAAATGGGTTGGGAAATGCTGTAATTATTCACAAAACATTTCTTCTTCTAGACTAGAACTTCCTAACCATTTTTAAAACTCCATTCTAAGCAGCAAACACAAAGCTATTTCATACCTAAGATGTAGGTAAACGTTCCTTGAAAGATTTGTGATATGAAGCTTCATAAAGTTCAAAGGCCAGGATTCTTTATCTAATTTTAGGACACACTATTCCCAGTATAACATGTGTTGTTACTGCGTTTACGGCAAACTGAGGCCACGAAGCTAAAGCTTTTGCCAGACTTAGTATTAAGGGTGTCTTTGTTGCTTAGAAAACAGATAATTTAGTTCAGTTTTTCAGTCAGTGCGGCCAGGTCGTGAAAGATCAAATAGTAGGTGTTTTCTGATCTTTTTATGTGCTGTTTCCCAAACATGTTCTGTTACGTTTAAGACAGAACAGACTAGAACGGAAGTGTAACCTTTGTCTTGCAAATGATTCCATGGAATGAAGATCCAGCTCCCACTCTAACCATATAGGAAATACAGTCTGTATACATTGGCTGACCTTTCCACATTATGGAGACATCCCTAGCAGTTCCAAAAGACATTAATTAAAAACCAAATGGCAGCACGAGTGATTGAGATCTTAAATTTAATGGCGTTAAGTTATTTGGAAGTTTATATAATTGTTAAAATATAAATGGAAATGCCCAGTCTAAAGTCCAAAATCACTTGGCAGTTTATCAAAATTCCTTAGTAGGTTATCACCAGTAGACAAGAATTGTTGTGTTGTGCATGGTTTTTGCTTAAAGAGATTATAAACCCCAAAGCAGAAGACAAAGGCTGTCTGCATTCACAAAAGGATTGTATTCTTTTATAGGACTAAGCAGTGGTTAAAAGGCCCAGCCTAGTATGTATGAGTGAGTGTGGATGCTTTACAGAGAGAGTGAGAAGCTATAACAATTCTGCAAAAACTTAGCCTGGGTTAATAAATGCACATAATTTTTATTATCGCTTAACAAAACAGGAGGTGAGCCATAGTGAAATCTAGGCCGCCATGTCGTGCATCATTTTACCACAGAACCTTGTTTTGTGGTGGAAGAAATGGTCTGTGGTGCAGACAGTGGAACAATGCACTGTACGAGAGACTTCCCTCACTTGCACATTGAATATGAATTAATGATACGTTTAGTGATACTTGAGAACAAAAAAATAGCTATTTAAATGCTCATCATACAGTGCTTTGCAAAGTATTCAGACACTGCCACAGTATTCACATTTTGTTGCTTCAAACCTTGCAGCCATGATGTTTTGACTTGGAAATTAATACTTGTTATATGCACAACCTGCTCAACATTTTCAAAGCAAAAATAGATAATATGAAAGAAAAAGATTGCTTAAGTATTCAAACATGCTGAATTCATGAAATTGCTCAAAATGACCTAAACAAGCCAAACAAGTAGTTGAGTAGCCTCTGTCTGTCTATGTCTTCCAGTATAATATTGGGTCTCATGATTTCAGATTAAAAACTCCTTTTTAAGGTTCATTGATCAGGCGGTGAATTTAAAGATGAGAAAAAATAAGCATTTTTTTTTAGAAATAACATTAGGGACAGGATCCCAGTGCTTATGCTTATAATGAGCCACCACAATAACATGATTAGACACTGTGACTGGAGTAAATGTGTGTATAAAAGTACACACCATGACAAGCTTGAATATCATGGATGTTAAAAAAGCCCTCAAATGCATGTAAATAGTTAAAATAGCTCTGACATGCCTCAATCTTTCTCTTTGTTGCAGGAGCTGTCATCATGACTATGAGACTGTTTATCTTCTGCTTTGTTTGTGGAATCGGAACTTTGTTAGCAGAAGAGATTCCAGTGACATCAGAAGGTACTGTTAAGGTTTTTTTGTGTTTATTAAAATGTAGATCTAAATCTCTTTTCAATTTTCTGTTTTCTTTAAAAAGTAATCGTTTCTAAAATACAACTTGGTTGGCAGGTGACAGGATATGATATTTCTTTATGAATCTCATATATAGAAAGAACAAATTGTTCTGAAATAATATTAGGGTTTTTAGATATATTAATGGTTGGAGTGATTTAGTATTGCTGTCACACGGTGCTGTGGCCCTGGGTTCGATTCCTGAGCTGCTATTTGGATGGAGTTTGTATGTTTTCTCTCTGAGTTAAAAAAATATTGTGTTCAAGCATGCAGAATCAAATTTTATCAGTTTTAAACTTGCAAACATCATGTACATAACACCATAACAATGGTTCCAGATGAAGATTGCTTCCAAACTTCTCAGGGATCCTGCACTAAGAGTACTTAATGAATTCTGTTTTGGGAGTGTCCTTTTTGTCTCAGATGAAATTGCAGTAACTCACAGTGAACCCCAGACTGCTTCTGCTGAATGGCAGCTCCTTTGGTTACTGTCTTTCTTTGGGCCTATCTTTTCCTGGCAGCTTTAACCTACAGACAAAAAATAAATTTTGCATGGAGTTTGTGGTAACTCAAAATCAGACTTGGTTACAGAAGATGGTCTTGCAGAGAGCATGACCACGCTGTTCTGTGTTAGTGTATTTGTTTATACTGTATTTGTTTTGTTGAACTATCATGACTATGGTCCCTTTTCTCCTCTTATTTTTCTACTTTTTATGTTGTAGCCTCCACTTCACGTGTTTTGATATTGTTCTAAAATAACTAAAATCTTTTTAAAAATCTGTTCAGAACAAAAATGCAATCTTCTATTTCAAATGCACATAACATTATTTGTGTGCTTGATGAGCTATTGATAAAGAACTTCTACTATTGCGTTTTCATTGTGTGTCAGTACAGGTGTATGTATACATGGTTACTCTCCACACTAGACCCTGTAAGGGATTGAGATTTAAGGTTGATGGTAGGTTGGTTCAGTATTTAAACATACAGCACTTCGGTGCCAGAAATGACTGGGTGTTCTTTAAGTTGAGTGCTCGCATTTTATAATGCTGGAAAACAAACCAGATTTGGAAAAAAAACAAAAACAAAATAATGGCACAACTACAAGTTGTTTCATCCATAATATTAAAACGTGTCGTGTGTTGTCTCCATACCCTTGCGTGACTGCTAGTTCTGTCCACTCAGGAGAGTACTTCATCAGAGGAAATACATCAAGTAAAAAATAAAGAAATTGCTCACTGATATCTTTAAATAATGAAAATAGAAAATGTGAATCATTCAGAATGCTAATTTATCTGCACTAGGAAAAAATAAATTACATGTTCCGAATACTGAGTGATTTACAAAATTGTACAGATTACCTTGTATAGAAAATGGTTATGTTAAGTGCTTTCTTTTCAAAGTGCACAATTTAGTAAAAATGTCAACCTTCCTTATGGATGATCGGGTGGGAAGTTCAGTTAGGTAAAATGGCCTCTTGTTTCAAAGTAGTGGAAGGAAGTGTCCAGGCTAGCAGCAGTCTGAAGGTTATGAAAATTGTCTGACCTTAGGATAATTAATGTGCAGAATGAAGACTTTTTAAATAAATTGGGGTCTTCTGAAGTGAACCTGTCTGCACGATATCTGTAATGCCAGGTGATTTCAGATTGGCTCGTAAAACTATTAACTTTAATAGCATTTCTTAAATATTTCAAGGAGAAAAATGTGTCCTTTACCAGGATTTTTTTCAGGGAAAGTTTTTAGTTTCACATTTTTCTCTAAATCCTTCTTATGCTGTAACCCATAGGACTCTTTAATATCAAGTAAGCTCCCTATATTACAAGGTATAACAAAGAAATTAGCTTTTTAAAAAATCAAACTGTTAAGCCACAATTTGTAAAAAGGTACCCAAATTAAACAATTATAATTAAATAGCACTACAGTATTAATTAATGTGGTATCAGTTGTAGTAATTATTTGTGCTTTAATGTTATGTTTTCATTACTTTAAGTAAATTATGGAATATTTTATACCACACATTTAAGCCTTTTTGTTGTTGAAATATATAATAGTAAATATAGAAAGACTGGACTTTAATGGATAAAATCTGAGAAACTCTCTATTCATTTATACTGTTTATGTACTGTATACGATCTGTACTACCCTGAGTATGTGGTTATGTATAGAAATATTATGCTGTATAGGCTGCTAAGCCTTCAGTTGTGTTACAGTGTTGATTTATGTAGTGAAGAAGCACAGCTGTTGCTTTCAGTCTTGACACTGTATTAATAAACATAAATATTGCTGTGAGATATATTTGGTCTTGCATATTCATCTGGTTGCTTTATGGTAGGGGAGTCAACAGCAACAATTTGTAGGATATAGTAACAAGTTGATTGTCTTGTATCAAATTGGTCTTTGCTAACTGGGTCAGAAACAATAGTGTCGTCACAAAGCAGACACAATCACAAGCTCCAAAACCTGCTGCCTGCGATGCACCCTAGCCAAGATTTGAACCTAGCCTTTAAACCGACACAAACACGAAAGCAATGTGAAAGCTACTGTACCACCAAGTGGCATGTGTATCTTTAAATAATCTCAGAGGCAGAGATTTGAAAATAATGTTTACAGCAGAAAAAATACTTTTAATCCAATTTAGATTTATTTTTTTCTGTTTCTGTGCCCAATGCTTTCAATAGCACTTTAAAATGCATTTAAGTGGATATGATCCAGCATCCACATTTTTCTAACATTTCATCTAATATGAGAAAGTAGCATTCAGGTAGTAATATGTTGAGACTTTTGATAAAACATATTGTTCTAATTAAATTAGAATTTACTCTTATAATAGAGTATTATAATATTTTATAGAATATAATATTTTTGAAACAATGAAAAAAAAATATTCTCGATATTCTCATAATAAAACTGGCTGGTTTCCTAAGATGTCATCTTTGAATAATATAATGTTGCAAGTGGGGGGTTATGAAAATGGTGAAAATCAGGAGTTGACAGAGTGGGAAAAACCGAGGTTGCTGCTGGAAGAGGTGTTAGTGGGGCCAGCAGGGGGCGCTCACCCTGTGGGCTGCGTGGGTCCTAATGCCCCAGTATAGTGACGGGGACACTATACTGTAAACAGGCGCCGTCCTTCGGATGAGATGTAAAACGGAGGTCCTGACTCTCTGTGGACATTAAAAATCCCAGGGTGTTTCTTGAAAAGAGTAGGGGTGTAAGTTTGGCATCCTGGCCAAATTTCCCATTGACCCTTACCAATCATGGCCTCCTAATAACCCCCCTCTATGAATTGGCTACATCACTCTGCTCTCCTCTTCACTGATAGCTGATGTGTAGTGAGCGTTCTGGCTCCACCTGGATGGTGCTGCAGGATGATGGAGGGGAGTCCCCATTACCTGTAAAGCGCTTTGAGTGGAGTGTCCAGAAAAGCGCTATATAAGTGTAAGCAATTATTATAATTAGAGGCATGTGAATTATTTGTTCTCTGGCTTTGATGAAAAGAATAATAATCCAGGGTTTTGGTTAAACAAATATTTATTATTTATATGATGACAATAATAATACATAATAATAACTACACTACACACAGTGGAACATACATCACACAAGTTACTGTATATACAGTATTTACAGACAAAGGCCTAACAATCTAATCACCCAGAAACCCCCCAGACTTCTACTAAGTATGAAACTCTTCAATGATGCCTACAGAGGCCAAAAAAGAGATAAGCTGCCTTCTAAATAAATGCAGTACAACCTGCAGTTGAATCTCTCTCACTGCACACCGAATGCCCTAAATAAATTGAAGCCTGTCTCGCTATTGTATAAATGCACCCTAAGCTGGAAAGATGTCTCTAACCAAGGAATCTCTTACCTTGGAAACCCATGTTTCCAAAACTACAGAATACCAAGCTCTTTCTCTAACAGGCTTCAAACATTTAGCCTTCCTGTCAGGTTTTGTTAGGATGATCATGAAGTAAATGCATGAAGTAGGGGCTCTCGCCTGCATCCTCCCTTTTGTTGTCTCTATCCCTTCCTTGTTGTCTCTCTGTCCTCTTAATGTGATCTTATACTGTGTGTTTGTGTACTGCTCATTGACTGTCATTAACCCACAACATACCTACAGTAGGTATACAAAGGTAAACTTTATAATTGTTTTTGATCAGGAGACTCCCACATCTCAACAAACATCCTCTCAACTTGAGTTACTGTAGAAGTGTTTACTCTGCCAAGTGTCACAAACTCTATCTTAAATCTAAGAGACACTTCTCAGTCACCTAAAGCTCTAACAATAAAATTGTTTGAAATGGTGGTATGGGATTCTAGTATGTACGTACAGTATGTATGTGAATTGAAGTGTCCTCTTTACAAAATGAGTTATAAAATTCAGTTAAACAAAACAGTAGAAAAAAATAAGACAGTACCCATTCAGTTCAATACAAAGTCCACTTCATTAGGGTACTTTAAAAATGCATTGCAAAAGAAGAGGGACTTGACATTATCACCACTCTGCAGCCTACCTAAGAATTAATTCATATGGCATGTGTTCAGTTATTAAAACATAGCTTTCCCTTCTCCCACATAGAATGGCTATTATAAAAGCCCCTCCCCCAGCTTGTAAGACCTGGGTGGATGCCAGAATTTGATGCCCAAGTGGTGCCATTTTTTTCTGTCTTGGACTTCACTGAGTTAACAGAAGTCAGCTGCATTTCGTGTGGATTTCTTTGGTGGTCAGCATATATACAGTATTTTAAAGGCAAAGTCCATTCAAGTGACATGTGATTAACCCCCATCCTTAATGAGGCATTGGGACATTAGCCGATTGTAGGGATTACCTAAAGCAATTTTTGTGCCCAGTTATACAGCTGGGTGGACTGGAGAAAATGGGGGGTAAACTACAGCAATAAATTTGTAATTTGAACAATAAAGTCATTTTCATAATTTGGTTACATGGCTTC